CAAAATGATGAATTCCCTGAAGTCACCATCAACGTAGCTGATAGAAGAAAGTCTAAACAGCATTCAAGTGACTCAAATCCCGACTTTTCCCCGAAAGGAAAAGTCAATCCAAGAATTGCTCAAAGGATGTCTCGACTCCAATTAGGAGCTATCAGACGCAGAGACTACAAGAGAATGCAAGAAGGAATGTCCTCGGAGGATGAATTCTCGGACACTTATTCTGCAATCGCTTCTGATGATACAATGTCTAGCACAGGACAAATCAGAGAAGTATTCACAATCACTGCTGATCAGTTCACTCAAATACTTCAGGAAGCTCTAGCCAAACAACGTGAAGAAATTAGAGCTGAAGTGAAGACAGAAATGAAGTTGGCTATCCAACAAATGAGAGAACTGTTAACTCAACAGCCTCAACCTCCTGAGTCCAATCAGCGATTTGAATCCAGCCACCACACTCGGAATGTTGTAGATGACAGTGATCCAGAGGTGGATGAAGTCATTATGGCTGATACACCTCCCAATGGCAATAACGCTGGGGGTGGTTTAACGGATCCTCCCAATAACGATATTGGGGGTGGTTCAATAGCACCTCTCACTGGGGGTGGTCCAATTATCTTTACTCGACATCATTCAGAAAGAAATGAAGACGATGACGGGAAAATGCAAAAACTTGAAGACAAAATCAATGCTTTGATGACGGCTCAAGAAGTTAAGAAGACGGGTATTCCATGTCCTTATCCGAGGGAATGGGATTCAATACCATACCCGACCAAATTCAATCTGATTAACTTCACACCGTTTGAAGGGAAGAGTTCGCCGATTCAACACTTGATTTATTTCAAGTCTCATTTGGGCATAATCTCTGGAAACGAGGCCTTAATGATCCGGTCATTCGTTGGCACCCTTCGTGGGCCCGCCTTCGATTGGTACCGACGGCTCAAGCCAGGGAGCATCAATTGCTGGGATGACATGGAAAGTTTGTTCCTCAGCAACTTCTTCGATGATGACACCGAAGTGTCAATCGGAATCCTTTTGGATGAGAAGCAAAAAGACGGAGAGTCAGTCGACAATTTTGTCAAGCGTTTCCGTAACATGGCGATGAATTGCAGAGATCCTATTACAGAGGAGTTCATCCTGCAAACATGCCACAATAACCTCTCCATCGATGTCTTGGAAGCTTTGGGGGTTGAGCCGTCCACAACTTGGAAGGAGTTAAAATTTCGTGGCGAACAAGCTGAACACTTTCTTAAAAGAAAGGAAGCTGAGAAAGGCCAACAAATGACATCTGCAATCATTGGGAACGCAACTTTCGATCCGAAGTTTCAAAAAGAATATTCATTCGAAGAGGATGAAGCTCCAGCCATATTGGAATACCTCCTCGCTAATGACAAAATCGAGCTACCACCTATTAAAGATCAGGATGGAGCTAAGATGATTACGGATCCAAATTACTGTGCGTACCACAGAAGGATTCTTCATCCCACCGAAATTTGCTTTGGACTCAAAAACAAAATCCAAGCCTTAATTGACTCCGGCGTCATAACGGCCAAAGAAGTCGAGTAAAGACGACCATATTACTCCATCGGATACACGAGTATAAACTGTTTTCCCCAACTCCATTGGGTACACGAGTATAAACTGTTTCCCCTCACTCCGAAAAGTATACGAGTATAAACTGCTCCTCGATACTCCAAAAGGTATATGAGTCTAAACTATTTCCTTTCCTTAACGGGAAGTTCCTGGAGAATCCTATATTCTTAAGGATAACCCGAACATATGACTGAGGTTAACGTACTCCTCGTTATACCCAGTTTTACAAAGAAAGCTGGGGGTCGATAATTCATGTAATGGGAAGTTCCTGGAAGAATGTTAAATATAATATTCTTAGGGATAACCCGATTATTATGGACAGAATGATAAATACTAAGCTCCTATTATGATTTTCGAACACTCTTTTGCTGAGATGAGATTCGATCACTTCGTTAGATCAATCTTCCCTCACAAAACCCATTTGGTCAAACCTTTAAACAGTTAGGACCGAAGCCAAAATCCCCTCTCGATTCGTTCCATGAACGAGAGGTCCACAAATTGAACGATCAAACCTTTAAACAGTTAGGATCGTCTTAAATACCCATTTGGTCAAACCTTTAAACAGTTAGGACCAAAACCAAAATCCCCTCTCGATTCGTTCCATGAACGAGAGGTCCACAAATTGAACGATCAAACCTTTAAACAGTTAGGATCGTCTCAAATTCCCATTTGGTCAAACCTTTAAACAGTTAGGACCAAAGCCAAAATCCCCTCTCGATTCGTTCCATGAACGAGAGGTCCACAAATTGAACGATCAAACCTTTCGCGGCTAAGGCGCGGCAGACCAAGGTGCCGCGGCTAAGGCGCGGCAGCCTATGGTGTCGCGGCTTAACCGCTGCAACCTATGGTGCCGCGGCAGTTAAAGCAGGATGCTACAGCAGTTATAATACAGTTATCTGATGATTATTTAAAGTCCACGTGGCGGAGTATCAGAAATAGAACGTGTGCTGATGTGGAAAAGCAGTTAAACCACGAAAAAGGTGGTTAAAGGTCGTGGGAGAACTGTTTCAAACACGTATGAACGTGGGTGTAACTGCCCCTTTAGCCGCGGCAGTGTCGACTGTCGCGCTCTTTGGCCGCGACAGTGTCGACTGTCGCGCCCTTTAGCCGCGACAGCATCAGCTGCCGCGCCTAAAGAGACAGTTATTGACCAGCTATTTCTTCAGTTATCGTCTAAGGAGGCTATAAATACCCCCCTATGGTCATCATGGACAGGGGCTGAGCATTTTCCAGAGAGATTAGAGCAGAGAGCCTTGAGTTTTGGTGAATTAGAGCAAGAGAGAGAGTCTTCCTTCTTCACAAACATCCTCAAGAAGCTTCTAGCGAGTCCTAGAGATCTAAGCTCAGACTTGATCTTTGGAAGAGTGAACATCTTACATCGATAAGATATTCGCTTCAAATTCTTACTTCGATAAACGAAGGAAGAATCATTAAACCCCTCACGGTTCAATCAGAATCTGTGATTTGGTGGTCCACGAGTCAAAGCGCTCCCGGCACAGGCAAAGATCCCACGCAAGCAGCGATCCAAACAACGATCCTGCGTTTGTTTCTAAAAAGTTGTAATTTTCCTTTTGTTGTGTAAAAGAAGTCTTATAAAAAGACTATCTCTTTTGAATTTGTTGTAATCGACCGAAGATATAATGAATTCCATGACAAAACCAACTTTTGACGCAAACAAGCTGGCGACCACAGTGGGAGCCAACGGTCTCGCTGCCGAGACCGTCGTGTCGCAGCCGATCAAGATTCCAGTTGAATCCATGGTCGAATACGAATTCGACCAAACCAAGTTTGAGGAATATCTCTCATCATCCTCTCGCAAGTACAAGAGGATCTCACAATTGAGGAAGAGTTGCATGCCAAAGAAGGCACAAAATGAAGACTCTCGCCTGATTGTTGCTGAGGATTCTACTCACAACCTCTCTGCTCATAATGGCTCTTCGCCAAGTAAAGAGTCATTAAATCAAAGCCCACCGGCATTGACGAAAAGAGCTCGTCAGAGACAACTGGGGTTTGGTGTTGTGGGTTACTTGTTGTTTTGGTTTGCCTTGCCTGTGGTTTTCCTTGCACTTGATATGTGGCAATGATGATGATCAACGTTTTCTGAGAATGCAATCTAACTTACATCGTTTATTATATCCAGATGAGGGCAAAGGGGATGACATTGCAGCCTACATTGAATTGACAATGTCTAGGCGAGGCAATTCATCCTTATAATGCAATCTGTAATAAACATGTTTAAGTTATAGGTGGGGCAATCAACGATGACAAGTTTATCTATTACTGAGCCATACAATATCAATTAGAATTTGTACCCAGTTCAAACAACAGTTTTCATTACACCCTCAGTAGTTTTTGCAAGTACAGGTACATGACATGAAGTTTGTAATAATTAAAATAACACAAAAAATTGCTAAGAAAATTGCAGAAATTTTCCAAACTAGTAGTTGATTTTCGACAAGTCTCAATTCTTTCTTCAGCTTCTTTGATTGCAAAATATATTTATCTCCATACCTATTTTCTTTGACATATTGGCTTCCTTGGTTGCTTGATGACTCTCCTCTTTCTTCAGCCCATTCGAAAAAATTACATTCTTTATTTGGGAATTTTTCACACCCCCAATAACACCTACCCTTATTTTTACCATTCTTGCACACTTTCATCGGTGTTCGGAGATGACAGTCGCAATAAACTTCATAATTCTGCCAGCACTCTTCTGATATCATTTTCATGTCGGGGCAGCAAATTGAAGATAATAGGAATTTTATAAATGCTGAAAATGAGAATGTTTGGATTATTTGTGAGGCCTCAAGGTGAATTTATAGCCACATTGGCCCTCTACTAGCCGTTGCTACAGTGTTCTGACTATGTTTTTTGAAATCTGAAATTTGAAGCTGAAAATAGCCGTTGCTACAGTGATTCCAGCAAGAAAATATAAATTTTGGTTGCTTCTAGCCGTTGCTACAGTAGTTTTTAAATGTTAAAGAGGTTCTCTGTTGCTACAGTATCTACTCCCCAAAAAAAGGTCTTTTTGAAGCAAACATGGTATTAGGAATTGGACCAATTCTATAAAAGTGAGATTCCTAATCCTTTGGGTGAAACAAACATAGAATGCCAAAAAAAATAGGATTTTATAAAACTATTACTTGTCTATAAAATTTTTATAGAATAGGTTGGAATCCATAAATAAAATAGGATTCCTAATCCTATTCCTACCCTCTATTGAACCAAACAGCCCCTTAGACTAATTCCCAAATAACGGAAGTATGGTTAATTTTTATATTATATAATTCATCTGTAATAAAATAAAATGATATCAAAAGGATCTCATGTCTTCATTTGATCATAATATATGCAAGGGTACGGTGGTAATTTTATATTCCCAGAAATTGCCTAATTTAAACGCAGATCCCTTCAAATAAAATGCTCGTCTCCTTTCATTTTCCCTAAAAATTTATCCCTTTTCTCCCAATTTTTTCCGAGCTCAGAGTGATCATCAATGGCTTCTCTAGAGTCACGCGAGGGTTTCGTCTACAAGGCCAAGCTCGCCGAACAAGCCGAGCGATACGACGGTAAACCCTAATTCTTCCCATCTCTAAACCTAGGGTTAGGGTTTCTGATCCAATCCATCCATGTTTTTTTTTCTATTTACAGAAATGGTCGATTTAATGAAGAGCGTGGCTAAACTCGACGTCGAGCTGACCGTCGAAGAGCGCAACCTCCTCTCTGTTGGTTACAAGAACGTGATCGGAGAGCAGAAGGAGGAGTCGAAGGGGAACGAGAATCATGTGAAGAAGATTAAGGAGTACAGGGGAAAGGTTGAGTCTGAGCTCTCCAAGATCTGTAACGACATAATGTTGGTGATTGACGAGCATTTGATCCCGTCGGCGAGCGCTGGAGAGTCCTCTGTGTTTTATTACAAGATGTGAGTGTCTCGGGCTGTGTATCTTTGGATTTTATTTGGATTTTTGGGATGTTGGTCCCTCAATTGATACCATAAATCAGTCCCTCTAGTTTAACGCTCATGCTATGCTCAATGTGCAAATTTTAATGGGTTTATAAGGAATTTATTGTGTTCATGGCCTTTAGAAATCAGTCCCTCTAGTTTAACGATAGTAATCCCCCCTTCCTGAAATAAGAAGAAGAAAAACTGACGGCCGGAAATTTTTTATTTGGAGAGAAGCTAACAGATTTACCATAGAGCCTAGAGGCAGCGATTTGAGTGAAAGTTTGAAGTTTTGTGGTTTTTGGAGTAAAAGTATGAATTTTTGTTATTTCAGGAAGGGGGATTACTATCGTTATCTGGCAGAGTTCAAGACTGGGAATGAGAGGAAGGAGGTGGCTGAAGAATCACTTAAAGCATATCAGGTTTACCTCTTCTTTCTTTGTTTTCGTGTTGAAAAATTGAATTTGATAGATGAATTTGTTTCTTGTGTTTAATGTGTGTTATTGACAACCTTGATGTTTTTTCTCTGATGATATTGCTTGAGATTATGAAAAGTTGATCCCTTATTGTTAAATGATTTACCTTTTTATGTAATAGAACAAAGAGGGCTGTACACTTGTATTTTGTTCTATCAATGTTCTGCTATAGTATGTTCTATTTGCTTGTATTCAGTAATCCTATTTCATTATTTTGTTTATTTTACATTGGTCTGCCGTTATGCTTATTTTGTTCGGTTTATTATTTTGGGGTTTTTTTTTGATATTAGTCCCTTAAATCTTTTATTTTGAATTGAGTTCCTTAAATCATTGGAATTACTGTTAGGTTCTGTACTCCCAATTCAAATATGAGATGTATCTTGAAAGCTGTATCCGTTTGGGGTAAATATCTAAATCCTTCATGAATACTCCTTGGATTTTTTTAGCTTTGTCATGGAAATATCAATGTTTATTAGTGTTTTGCACGTTGTATTTGATCTTTGCAAGTGGTATAGGTTTTTAACAACCATCTACACTACTTGCTCAACTTCCTTGGGCAGAAGTTCTCTCGACCGGTAGCTTATATCTCACTAGTTAAATGCAATGTTATGTCTTCCCATTGTTTTTTGCCATTGGGATGGATGTTTCAGTTAACCTCCAATAACATTCTACGAATAATGATGCAATATTAAATCCAGCTTTGACTATCTTTATTCTTATTATGGTTTCTATTAATCTGCATGAAAATTGTAGAAACGATGGTATGATATGATTCAACCTTCAAAACATCTACATGCTTATTCTGATCCAACTTGCTTACTGTAGCCTAAGGATGTGTACCTTTCCATAAACTGCTGATATTCTTCCACCTGTAAAATATTCCGCAAGCTATGAGATTTTTGTCATCACATGCCTGAAATCTGCACTTTTGATTACTGGCCTTTAGTGCAATGACAAAGCACAATAGCATTGATAAGAATTATGTTTTCTATTATTTGTGGTGTTTTAATTCAGTTTATGATATGAACCTGTTATATGCTGATTTCTGGTTATTTACTCAATCTCTGCAGGCAGCTTCCAGTACAGCTGAGACTGATTTGTCTCCAACTCACCCAATTCGATTAGGATTGGCATTGAACTTCTCAGTATTTTATTATGAGATCATGAACTCACCTGAAAGGTGTGCAGGCTGTTACATTACATGTCTCTGTGTTTCTTCATGTTGTTTTAGACCTTATGCTCTAATTTTTTTATCATATAATTTAGGGCTTGCCACCTTGCCAAACAAGCTTTTGATGAAGCCATTTCAGAGCTAGATTCGCTAAGTGAGGAATCGTACAAAGATAGCACTCTGATCATGCAACTTTTGAGGGACAACCTTACCTTGTGGACCTCTGATATTCCTGAGGATGGAGGTAATCGTCTAATTCCAAATCCAAGATAGTGTCGACATATATCTAATTAATATTTCATAGTTTTTTAAAAAAATGCAATGGAACTTTTAAGATAATATTGCATGTGTTTTTATAAAAGATAATGCGAAGTCTAAAAAATAGTTCTCATAGTTGTACAAATTTTAATTATACATAGTTTTAGCAAAATATATATTTCTTTTCATTATCACGTACGTGAATGTCCAAGATGCATCACTATCACTCTGGTCTTTTCAACTACCCTGTTGTTTGAGTAATTTTTTGGATGATCTCCCTATTTTATTTCATATGTAACCAAGAGATCTTTGCTATTTTTATGCATATATGTCATATGTGTATCTTTAGCTAAAAAATCCTTATGGATATATAAGTATCTTTAATCTGAACAAAAAAAATTCTCACCATTTCTGCAACAATGACTGACAATAAAATATATATTTAATAATGTGTAAGCATCCTTTCTAAGGGCTTAGTATTTTCAGTAAGATAGTGCATTTAGATAATTAGAAGTGTAGTTCATCATTATGTCTCTACTTTGTTGGTTAAATAAGTGGTAGCTATAAACTATTCTAGTTCTATGTCTCCAAAAGAGGAACTCCTGATATTTGACTAAAATCCCAAGAGTTTGTTAGCATACTAACTAGATAGACTTCCTGTTAAACCCTCGTCTGATTTGATGAAAGAACGACCTTATTAATAAATTAACTTAAGTTCTGCTTAATATATACACTCGAACCATTTTACTTTTGGTTAGTTCTATGAAAAATGTTATTCATTTCGGTGCGCTGTGCTTGTATTTTATAACAATAGTAAGGCTTTAGGTTGCACTCTGCTTGTGTTGAAGGTTATTCTTCTGCAGCATGTTTTGAGGTCTTTAACAGAACATAACAGCGACGAAAATTATGCTTCACATCTCAGAACTTAGATATTGTCTTTGCCATTTTCCCTTCTGGTTACACCCCACCAAAAAAAAGGAAAGAAAGAGAAGAAGAAGAAGCGCCACATAACACACAGAAAATCTTTTTTTTAATTATAATTGTTGGAAATATATCTTACTGAACTGGAGTAAAACTACAATGTTCATATTCTATTGTTAAAAATTTAATGTCTTCTCTCTGTTTGGCAACAGCAGAAGATGCTGCAAAGGATGGCTCTGGGAAGGTTGCAGGTGATGAGGTGAGTTCCTGAATTTATTTCACATTTTTTATTTCTTTCGAGGGATTAATTACTCTGTTGATATTCTTCTCATTTTCTGATAACTCTCTTATTTTGGCTTTTCTAACTGCAGTGATGCAGAACAACCAGGGCCATGCTAGATGTGAAGCAGGGAGGGGATCAAGGATGCGTTGAGCATCCTTTGTTTTGTACCCACTCTCGGTTCATTTATTATCTTTAGATTGTTTTAGTTTTAGTTTTTGTTATCTTTATTTTTTTTTTCACGTGACATAAAACTCATGGATTTTATAGGCGAATTGCTGCTGCTGTCATATTTTCAAGTTTTTTTTTTAATATCCCGAAGACGTAGCTCTTGTAGGAGCTTGTCACATGAAATGATGAATGTATTAACTAGCTATTTATGTGGCTGGTGTGCGTGTTTGCTTCAGAGAGTCTGGTTTCTACCATAGCTAGATGCAAAGCTATGGTATTCAACATGAGCTGCATGAATATTTTTGTGATGATGTTTCGTGAAGGTTGACGGTCATTTGGGCTCTTCAATATTGATTTCAAACAAATGCTAGCTTTTGAAGCTCCCAGTAGTTTCTGTGCCTAAAACAGGGTGAGTTGTGCTGTCTGTGCTACTAGGAGAAGATCAAACTACTGGATATCCTATTGCTGAAAACTGGGTCGTTCATTATGTCGACTCTTTTAAGAAGAGTTTAAGCCTTATATTATGTTTGATAAAACACTTTTAAATAATTTTACCCAGAAAGCTGGGACTTGCCTTTCTTCAGCTTTCAGTTGTCCCAAACTTGGGCCACCTTTTTTCCACAATTATTTAGAGCTGTTGCAGACCACAGGTTCTGAGCCACAACTGGGGGGTAAATTACCAATTTCCCCCTGTGTTTTGCACATGTATGGCGGTTCTGAGCCACAACTTGGGGGGCAAATTACCAATTTCCCCCTCTGGTTCGCACATGCATGGTCAGAACCGCTAGCTCGTATGCGGATATGGTTAGAACCACTATCGTATGCGGATATGGTCAGAACCACTAGCTCATATGCAGGCGGAAAAGTCCCTTTGACTCACGCGAGCCAAATAGCAATGTTCTATGCGGGCAGTTCTTCTGATAGAATAATACTGGCTGTTGCATGGAAGTATAACGTCAAAGAATATGCATCAATTGATTGGATATAAGGGTAATGAGTCAGATGAGAGCCTACATATATATGTGGCTTTATCATGATCACCCCTGTAGAATATAAAAGCACATTTTGTGCAAATTAATGTTAACCTTAAAAGATATGATAATCAAGTGATAAGAAATTAAAACCATAGTTGGTAAGTAGGTAGAAAGCAAAGTCGAGATGTTGTAAGTAAACAATTGGAACATAATTGACGGAGCAAAGAAGATAAAGAGCAACGGTCGGAAAATTAAACACTTCCAAAGGAGTGGCAATGAGAACGTAAATAATCTGAACTGCCATTTTTGTGACGAGAGAGAATCTTCAGAATTTCTTGTTGCGGGCAATAATCTTGGCGAAGGACTTAAAAAACCATCATTTGATTTTTATCCCACAGAGCTGCTTTGTACCTACTTAACCCATGATATTTTCTTTCTACTGTTCGGTATCAGTCTCTCTTCTGATTTCAGCACCCAATGATCTGAGCTTTGCCTCAAATCCTTCATAACCTCGATCAATATGCGAGACACCTGAAACCTCTGTTATGCCATCTGCTGCCAGTCCTGCTAAAACCAGTGCAGCTCCACCTCTCAGATCAGCTGCTGAGACTTTAGCACCACGAAGGGGCATGCTGGACGAAACGAAAGAGAGTAGATGAAGTTTTAAAGTTTTAACCAAGATAATTCATTAGGGAAGTTGCAAGCTGATATAATACCTTCCTGGTTTTTTCCCTTCAATGAATGCTGAATTCCCAATGGTCTTTATTCTGGCACCGAGCTTCTGCAGTTCTTTCACTGTAAATGAATAGCTGTCAGTTAATAACTATGAAGATGTCGTAGTAAAACTACCATGATTATTCATTATTATGAATGGTCACCGTCTTAAATAGTTACCGAGAGCGAAGAAAAAAACTAATTACGAGTTCACTGTAGAAGAGACAACAATAATTTTACTTGACTAATGCATGAAAGAAGCGAAAATAGGAAGGAAAAAAAATGATTTCACAGTATTGACTGTTTAACAAGCCTAAACAAAAGCAATTGGCTTGCATATCAAACTCCAAAGCCTTCATAAGCCAAGAATCACAAGGCCATCTGGTTTTCCTAACCCTGGCTTGTATGTCAAGCTCACTGCCCTTAAAGCCACCAAATATGTGACCTACTTGACATTATTGGCATGAAATATTCTGTAGATGTTGGCTGATAAGGTCTACTGTTTGTTCTGGATCTTAGAAGATGCTACTAAATTGGAAATCTAATTCTTCTCATACTTTCAAGTGAAGAAGAGTTCATGATGTGGATGAGAATATAATTAAAATTTGATCTTTCTGCCATTTACAAACAGCGTATTCCTCTCCCTCCACCGAATGTATATCGAGACGCATAGATTTACGTTGCATTAACCACTCAAAAATTCACCTCTTGACTCACCATGATGCATACGGTTCTCAAATACAGATTCCTCAACAATACTCGACCCAGAACATGTAGTAAGCAATGCCAT